ATACAGAGGAGTCAACTGCATTATTTACTAATTTTCTAGCTATAGAAGGAAAATTCTTTCATACTCATTACAACATACAATATATACAGTCACAAACAGAAAATCATCATGTTCAGAATACATAAAAAATAGAAAAGCCATAATTCTACTTTTTCTTTCAATAAAAAATCTATTTATTCATATATCTAATAATTAAGGCAAGAATCTTTCTTTATCAACTGGTTTCACACATTTTCTCCTATACATAGAACATGGCCTCAGCAGAACCTAAAATATTATGTATACCATAAGAATTGAAGCCAACAGTGCTGGATTTCTCTATAATGTACAGTGAACTGGTTACGTTAATATGCCCCTAAGAAATGTTAAGGTCTTATCAGGATAGTTTCAGCCCATAATCTGCTGAAACCTTGACCAAATCCATCTAATACTTCCAAACTTAAAAGAGATTTCCTCTTTAAAGTTTTTTGGTGTGTATTGTAAACATATATAGTACCCATTTCTACACATAAATGTGTGCCTCCCCAAAAGAGTGGATATTTGGGGAAGACTCTGCTTAGTCTTGCCTACTGTGGAAATTTGGCTAGTCGTCACACTGGTACCTGGCGACCAGCCCGAGTTGCCTCTCTGCCTCAGGTCAGTGACATGTGCTAATTAGGTTTAAAATATGTCTTCTGCATTGATCAGTTGAATAGGTGCCCCAATTTAAACAGTGGGGTACCATTTTGTTTGTGGCTAAACCAGCTGAGCAGCAGGTACATGTGCCGTTTGCTTGACCCAGCACCAGTGACAACAGGCAGAGAAGCAGGCTGTCTTTGGGGTCTTCCTCTGGCATTGAGCTCTATATGAACCAATTAAGCTTTCCAACAGTAAGTAAGGAAAAAAACAGCCCCAGAACTGGAATAAGGGCACTCCATTAACTGGGTACTATTTATGTAATAGCAGTGGGTGGCTCTTTACAATACTTACAAAAAATTTCAATTGGAAAACACACTCATTCTTTATAGGCTCCCATGGGAGTCCAAGAATCAAGACTGTGCTGGCAAAATGGGGAATGTGGAAAGGTGATCTTATATTATCGTTGGATTTAATAAATTCTGAGAGTAAAAGTCTGTTTCCAGTTATTTAAAGAAGTTAGTCAAGCATTCCTAATAACACCCAATACAGGGTGCTTTGCAGTATACAGCTTCACAGTTTTTGGTCAATATCCGCATTCACTTGATTATAAATAGCTTACAAAATTCTTTAAATGTTGTACAAAGATTGAATCCCCTATAACCCAGAGATGTCTATTACCATTCCGGCTTATAGGCTTGGGTTTGTCTCACCATCCACACTAAGACGTTTGTATACTGGGATGTAAATATTATGTAAATCTTATGTAAATCTATTGGTTATGCTTAGGGTATAAAATGTGTTAGGAGAGAAATAGAAATTACTTATTGAATACAAAATTTGCTTGCAGTGCTGACCTCTGGTGCCTGCTGCATGTATTGCGCATTATGAAAGAGCTAGATAATGAAGTTAGCCTGAAGTTGGGGGTTATCTGCAAGACAGAAAGTCAATACTGCAGAAAAAGTGCATCTATGTTTATTTATGAATAATGAAAGAAGCCAGGCAAGGAAAAGACTTAGGTGAACAATCTACTGTGACATGAATAATTCTATTAACAATGATCAGGCTAAGCCACAGGTCATATATGAATAACAGCCTGCTCTTCAGCCTTTGGCAGGCTATGTTTGGGTTTGGAGACCCCTTCCTGGCCAATGGCTTGATTCTGATATATGCACTATTGACTGAGTTTATTTTCTTGTACAGGACAGGAGTGAAGCAATGGCAAGGTGGAAATCATATTTAAAGTGACGTCAAACTCAAGAGTTGAATCTTAAAAATGCATTCAAGCACCTCAACTGTTAACTAAAATGTTGCTTATGTGTGCATCACTCAGCTGTAGATCCTCAAATCATCTCTGAATTGGTGCCGACACTGTCCTTCCTTCTGGAGGATGGCTACTTTTGTTCCCCATGGTCCCTATGTATGTTGTAAAGTAGCCACCACTCCAAGCTCACTCTTGTGATGGACTATAGTCTCACATTTAGTTTACTTATTTGTATTGAGATTGTAGTCCACCACGGGAGTGAGCTTGGAGAGGTAGCTACTTTACAACACACACAGGGACCATGGGGAACAAAAGTAGCCACACTCCAGCAGAAAGGACAGGGTCATCATGAAATCAGAGATGATTTGAGGATCTACAGCCGAGTGATGCACAAACAAGCTACATTTTTGTTAACACTTAAGGTACTTGAATGTATTTTTAAGATTGAACTCTTGAATTTAGTGTCACTTTAAGTGTATCTAAAAACCTGAACTCTTTTTATTTTGGATGTGGTGAAGGGGTTGAGACCTCTGTCCATTTTGTTGTTTTTTTGTGTTTTGCTGTGTGTCCACTGGGGTGATTCACACTCTCTGTCCTAGTGATCCCCTTACTGAGACTGAAAGTGAGGGACACTCCAAAATTCTAATTATCACCAGAAGAGGAATAGTGGTGAAATCTTCAAATGGTGACAATTTCTCTGCTGGCAACTGTCTCACAGGTAAGTTCCCTCACTTTGAAGCGATACCCTCTTACTTCCTGTTGTGTCTAGCAGACAGAAAGGGAGCACTCCCCAATGCGGATGACTCCCTACTTTATCCAAAATAGGACAAACAAGGATTTGGCCTTAGATATACTTTAAAAGAGCAAGCTGGAGATTTAGTTAGCATGAAATGATGCTATGGTGAATTGCCACCTTGTTCTGCTACCAAAAGGAACAAAGAACAAATAGAGCCAGACAAGGACCAGTGACATCTGGAACTTAGCACACAGCAGATTGCAACTAAGGAGAAGAAGGTGGATATAGTGGTGTCAGTAAGCGGATGGGCAATGTAAGCTAGCCGATGAGTGGTGAGACTGGGCAGGGAGAGGAAGAGAGCTAAGCACTGTATTTAGAAAGTTCAAGTACACCAAACCTTCCTGGGACTGAAGCACAGTAGACTGTGGCTACAATGGCAAGGGGGGGGTGTAGTTATGTTCATGGTGCAATCGTGATAAGGAGTGTCTCTATGTGCTACACTAAGGATATGTATGTTCTGTCATAGTGAGACAAAGCTCATTCACAGATCAGAGAACAGTGAACTGAGCTTTGATTGAGGAGACATACATTGGACATTGGAATACACCATTTAGCAAAGAAACATTCATTAAGGGGTGTGAGTCATTAAGCTGAATTAACTGAGCTATCACAATAACTGTGTTTGCAATAATGACTGTTATCTCCAGTAATAAGAGCCAAAAATAAAAGTCACGTCTGAAAATAATGTTACAGCAAACAACACATGTGTAATAGCTTAGTAAATTAAGCCCTAATACTATACTAAATCAATGCTTAGCTGTTTGGCTTGTTGGGAAAAAGGTGTAATTTTAGGGAAACAGTGATAGTGACCCCATTTATGTAGATCCACATCTAACATTTCAGTAATTCTGTGTATATGCCACATTGTCAGAAGAAATAATTCAAACATAATGTCACAGTTGCAATTAGTCCCCAGTGTTTTAAACAAACAAATTTCAAATCTGGAGGTGTTTGTCTGGGTTGCTTTAAAGTACAATATAAAATTATATCATGCTGAAGGTGTTTGACCTACTTGTTAAGTACACAGTGGCAGGCACAAGGATCAAAACGGCCCACTGAATGGTTCTGTGGCCAGATCCACTGAGAAGAGAGTCCTACCTGATTTAGGAGGACTATGGCAGCATCAAGCTTATTTGTAAAGGCTTTTACGTTTTTTTGTATATGTTAATGCCAAATAAGGATCCCCAGATTAAAACTGTTGTAGTTAATATGAAGCTATGTTGGGATACATATACTATACTGACAAGCCCTGACCATTATTTTATTTAAATAATAATGTGTCAGCATACTTATGGTATTACAATAAAATAAAAAAAAGGATACCCTTGCATCCCCATCTGCATTTTTGATTGACAGCTCAACTGCCAATGTACACAAAGCTCCTACAACTGTACATACAAAGAATATAAGCAGTCTACTCTCAAGAAGAGTATGCCTTTCCATTAAGTGAAACAGTACTCTGCAGGTAAGGATAGTGGGATGTCCGTTTTTTATGTAACCCTGGCTTCTACCCCAGTTTTCAATAAAATAGAAATATATGTAATCCAGGTGTCAGGTAAGTAAGGTAAAATGGAGGCAGGACTGTTTTCAGTTAACTGATAGACATGGGAGACTGAAGTAGACACATATTAAGTCAGAGGAAGAAAACAAAGACAAGCTATGGTCTGTATTTAATAACATAATGCAAAGAAAGTGTGCAGTTAGCTTTAACCACCAATCAGATTTCATTTTGTGTAAGTTACTGTAGTCAGGCCAATGAAAGATGATTGGTTGTTTATTGCACTTTGGCTTAAAAATGGCCTACACGTAGTAATATTTATGATTTCACTGCTTTGCTGTAGGGCAAACTGTTCAATGTCAATGTGGTTTCCAGTAATTATCCACAGGGGATTCATACAATTACAGTATTTCTATTAATGCCTAAGGGTACCTCTAAGCAGGCCTAGCTTACCCAAGAGTCACATTGGGATGATGGATGAGAGTGAGATCTGAACATTTATGGCCAGCATAAGTCCACTAGTTTTCTTTGTTTTCTCTCTGTTCACTCATTTTGTTTCTTCCACATCTAGATCATATAATTTTCAGTTTACATAAGCTATGTGTTAATCAAAATAATTAACCAGAGTCAGTGACCACCCTTACAAGAAAATCATATGGACTGTGTGAAACTGATTTATGACTTGATTCTTTTTCTCACCTGGATATTTCAATAAGAGGAGATTTAAGCCAAAAGGTATTAAAGTTGTAAATAGCAAAAGGTAAATAATGAAAATTTTATCTGAGTGATCTGTCCATAAATATTTAGTCCTATGTTCTGTCCTCAGGTCAAACCACAGTGCTAAGTGTTGAGGGTTCCTCTGTTAGCTTCTGCTTGCTAGGCAGGGATTTGAGGTACTCAAGATGACGTCGTGCATCCTCTTGGTTCTGACGTACATAATACACCAAGTAGGAAATGACCATGGCAAACCAACCAAACATTGTGACAAGCATGGCCACGTCCGTGGTTTTCTTATAAGCATTGCACAGGTCACTATCTTTGACCACTTGAAGAAAGGGCTTGCCAGCATGTTCCTCCAGTACAGAACTAGCACACACAATTCCACTGGATGAACTGGGGTCCAACTCCACCATCCTTATGAGTTCTTGAAGATCACAGTCACACAACCAAGGGTTGCCAGAGAGATTTGTTCTTGCCTTAAGGTTAGCAAAGACCTCCTTGTTGACAGACACTAGTTTGTTGGAAGACAGGTCTAGGGAGTGTAAGTGGTCACTTAGGCTCCTGAAAGCTGTAACATCTAAACGACCCAGGGAATTGTGGGAAAGGTCTAACTCCATAAGAACAGGGAGATTGCGGAAAGCATCTGAAGGGAGGTAGGTGATCTGATTGAAGTCTAGGTACAGACGGTTGGTGTCATTGGGAATTTCTTTGGGTACTTCTGTAAGCTGGGCATTGCTGCATCGTAAAGTCTTGTAGCCATCCTCCTGGGAGACATGACAGCCCTTGGGGAAAGTCGTAGCTGATTGGAAGCAGAGGGACATAAGGACCAAGCTTTGTAACAATAGCCATGTTGCTAATGAGCGGCGGAGGAACCAGGCCAAGAAAGGCATGGCCGGCCAGCAGCATACTCAGGAAAGAGGTGGTTGGAAAGAAGAGGCTCTGGACTTTGGGATTATTGAACATTTACATGTTGCCTGAAACAAAGTAACCACAGAGTAAGTATAATTGTATGCATTAATGATGACACTTGTACAAAAACCAAGTATTAGGGACCCAAACGTCCTCCAAATATACCAGCATCAAGTCATTGCCGGATATCAAGACGCATACCTCTTTTAATGCAAACCTCTCCATTCACCTAATGCATTAGAACACATACCTCTTTTAATGAAAATGTATCAGCACACGTACCTCTCCCCTCCTCCTAATGTATTGATATCAGCACATGTACCTCTCTCCCCCTCCTAATGCATTGATATCAGGAGACGTAGCTTTTCCCTCCTTCCAAAGCATTGATATGACATGAACCTTTTCCTTCTTCTAATGCAATAATATCAGGACCCATATCTCTCCCTCCCTGCTAATACAGATATCAGGATATGTACCTCTCTCCACATCCTAATATACAAATACCTGGACACTTACCTCTCCCTAATACCCAGATAGCCGGACACTTACCTCTCCCCTCTTCCTAATAAACAAATATCAAGGCACATACTCCTTCGAACCTTCAAATACACAAATATCAGGACACTTCTCTTTTCCTAATACACAGCTATCTCACATTTTCTTTTCTCGTAATACACAAATATCAGAAACCCACTCTTCTCTAAAAATACACAGGTGTTAGGACACATACCTCTCACCTCCTCCTAATACACAGAGATCAGAGAACATGCTTCTCACCTACCCTGAGCACATTTGGTTAACTTGTCCCTTCTTACATCTGTCACATGCATGAGATACAACTATTTCTCTATACCGTGATTTGACTAGACATATTTTTACAAGAGGGGAAATATATATTAAGTATTTTCAAGCACCAGCGGCAACTGACAACATGATTATGTAGAGGTAGGATTTAGATTACATAACCACACCACAGCCTTGATTTACCCCTTTGAAGTTTTACTAACCAATCACTATGTCAGGTATTCAGTATAGGCAGTGCGGTATATGAAAACAATTTGCATCCATCTCACAGTTCTTCACTAGTAGAAATGTAGATATACAGTATCTTATTTGCAGGGCTATCACAGCACAGATTCAGTACATGTGAATGTAGAATGGGCATTAATGGTCAGGAAACATATGACGTGTACATTGATGTTCATTCTTCTTCTTAGGCAAGCAATGTCTGAATTAAAACTCCTTTTATCAATAGAGATAAATAAAGCATGTCATTCAGGCAAGGAAAGGAAAGTAGTTTGCTGCTTCCGCTGCTCACATCTTGTCTCCATGAGCCTTTAGGAGGTAATTTTGGCCCTGAAGGCTCATTTCATTTAAAACGGAAATCTCAGTTATGGGCTGATTCTGCAGGGTTGTATCACCTAACTCTTATCATATGAGTTTGGGACTCCAGTGTAGTTAACTAGTTTTTATTGGGCACAGTTTTTTTTTCCTGGCACAGGGCTGTTAGCTGTGGGTGCCAACATTTTTGTGGCAAAGAAAATATTGCACCAAACGTTCAGGTGATGTTAGCTTTTGGGGCTAAGCCAACCTTAGAAAGAAGGTTAAGTGTTACATAGTTTGGCTTAGGGTTACAATTTAGGGAGACTATGTTAGATGAAGCAATAAGGCTAAATATTAGGGCTAGACTTACTGTTAAGAGTCCTGTAGTGACATAGGGTATGACAGGACAAACCACAGAGTTTTAGTAAAAGAACAGACACAGTACGTATTTTAACTGCTTACTTGCAGAATTTTTATTTCCATAAATGCTTTTAAATTAATTTGTAATGTGGCTTTGAACTTTGCTCCAGAAAATGTAAAATCCTTAGCTTAGCCCCTTCTCTTCTTGCATATCATAGCCCTCTACCCTTCTGAGAGTGCTTAATTACTCTCTGTTCTGACCCTACACCTCCCTACCTAACCTTTTATGTAACTGATGGAGAAGAAGCAAAGGAGAATACTATAGAGTGTCACTTCAGTGACTGGGGATGCTGACATCACACCCAAGATGGTGGTTTGATGCAACAGTCTCAGGACTTTCAGGTGTCTACAAAAGAAAGGAATTTGCAGGTAAAAGACATGCCTAAAATATGTTAAATGCACAAATAATCATATGGGAAGATTTAAACTGAATTGAATAGTCTGTCAACAGGGTCTCTTAAAGTGTCTAGGGTTATTTTTTAACAAACAATTAAAATTTGGATTCTCACAAAGGGGTTAAGTTTCTACCCCAAAATGTGTTCCTGTATGAGAAGCGTGCAGGTACATGCAGGGAAGACGTCACTGCCAGTGAGGGAAGGGGCTACATGGAAGACAAAACAGAGAGGTGTTTGCGTTCCAACTGCTTTGTATACCAGATTTCAGTTCCTTATACGGATTAATTCCTAGTTCCATCTTGGCACCTTGGCTTTTTAAAAAGCTATCATTCACATGTCACCTTCTCTACTGTGTAATTAAAGCAAGGCTTTCTATTGTGAGTCCACTTCATCTATCTAGTTTTGATATTATAGAGATCTGCTACATATTGCTAGTGTGCTCTTTTCACCTTATTATTTTTAAGGGTTATTTTTTAGACTAGGATGCATATTCCTTTTAAGTGTTATGCAAACCACACACACTGCCATTTGAAGTTACAATCACCTAACAGCTACAGCAACAGCAGCAAAATAATACAATATAGACTGGTTTGGACTGGTCATTTTAATTGACAATTGGTAACCAGCACTCTACCCACCTGAATAAATGGATGAAAGACTTTCTCTGTTAGAATCCATAAGTTGTAACAATGTAATTCCATACCATCTAGAAAAAAATAAATCCATAAAACTTTAGAGCCATATAAATCAGTCACATTTTCACAACAAGCAGTCCCGCATGACCCAAGATGTACCACTACAAATCAAAAAAATCCCCATTATTTCTTCAGGTATACTGTATTCTTCCTGAATTTCTACATCATCAAGAGATAACGAGATCAGTTTTTATTTCCATTACTTGCTGTATTCGACATCTGCTTCACTTTCCTTTTTTCTATATGTTTTATTGATTTCAGGTCAAACAAAGTAAGGTAAACATGGACAGAGTGTTTCAGAGATACAAATCAGTTCTAACTTTTTGTAGATTAATTTTAAGGTAAGAATAAAGACTTAAAGTGAATCCTTGCATGTGTCAAACATGTAACATAGTGGTGCATTCATAATCTGCTCCATCAGCTGTATCAAATGCCCTCCTTGCCCAAGACATGCAGCCAACAGGTAAATCCCTGTATCCCCCTAGCCACTGAAATATGTGGAGAACAGTGACACATGACGGAGGAAGGACAGAGATGACATGTGGGCTATGAATGACAACCCGGATGCACCTATAATGTACAAGGGGCAAGATCATGGCACCCATTGCAGAAATAACTGGCTTTCGGAGGAAAGACTTAACCAGAGTTCTTGTTTAATGATTATTCACCAGGAAGCTATTTATAATACTAATGGTTTGCTTTTTGCAGCTTTTCTGTAAACATTGGGGAAAAAATGAAAATGTTGCATTAAGGGTTTAGGTAACAAGTGATTCAATTAGATCCAGTTAGATTGCCCTTGTCTTGTATCAAAAAAGATTAGAGCGAGCTTCCAAAAGAAATGGCAACCCTGGTATCTGTGGTCTCAGGAAAACACATCTAGCCCACAAATTTCAACGATGGCGATACATGTGACTCTCTGATATTATGTGTATGGAACCTCTCAGGCCCCATCATATGGAATTGTGCATACTCTATTGGTAGAGTACATATACCTTTGAGTGTCTCTTATGTAGATATTTTGGTCCTACTTGGACCTTCTTTGTTGTTCGATACGCTTTTATTGTATTTTGTATAACCGAAAATGCCCAAATAAAAATCTTTTGAACTTAAAAAAGATTGGAACTTGGCACTAACAATATATATCCAATATACAGTATATAAAATGTGATAGTGTTTGATGAGGCTTGAAGTAATTTTAGGTGCCTACTCAGAATTTTCCAAAGCCTAAGGGTAGGCAAATAATAAAAATAAGAACACAGGCAGAAGGAGTTGGCAGCCCAAACCATCAAGAAAAAGGAGAAATGGAAAGGAGAGTTGAAAATGAGAAAGAAGACAGGTTAATTTAAAAAAATGAGAGGGTAAAGTAAAGAGGAAGAAAGAAAAAACAGGGGAGGGGATTACCTTGGTAAAATAGAATAAGCTAGGCAAGAAAGAGGATTTTTAGAGCTATAGGGTAGGACCCAGTTGTGGCTTAATGAGAGTATTATATTCTACTAATGCCAAGAGGGCTTTATTGCCACCTACCGTGTTTCCCCGAAAATAAGACACTGTCTTATATTTTTTTTGCCCCCAAAAACCACACTAGGTCTTATTTTCAGTTGATGTCTTATTTTTATTTTTTTTAATGTGCAACAAAATGTACAACAATCTAAAGTTATTCATGTACAACAATCCAAAGTTATCTGGTATCACTCCGACTGTCACAGTAACTGGCGATCTAGAGGAATATTGGCTAATGCGGCTCTGCTCCCTCTGCCGCCGCAGCCTTGCTTTCTACAGCGCCGGCTTCCTTTGCCATTAGGGACAGCGGTGCAGCAGTGGGGACATCAGACAGTGGACCGTGTGGTAAAGTACAGTACCATTTACCGGTACACAATACATTACAGTACCATTACATTAAGCAGTGCCTTCAGGGGGACTGCAGTTGGTGAAGTATGGTACTGGAGTGCTCCCTGTAACTGCGCTGTCTGGAGGGAGTCCCCTGTCATCCCCTTAAAACCGTATGTCCCTGCAGGCTGATACCATGTCTCCTGCAAGTTCCCTCTCACATGCTACCACCAAACTAGGTCTTATTTTCAGGGTAGGTCTTATATTACAGGAATCTTGAAAAATAGTGCTAGGTCTTACTTTCGGGGTAGGTCCTATTTTTGGGGAAACAGGGTATGTGCTTTGACTGAGCTACCTAAGCTTGCTCTATTCTTAGAATATGGGTATCATCAAGACCCTTTGTTTGGTACTCATAAATATGTGCTTAATTAAAATCAGCTTTTTACTAGAAATGTCTGGGGTCAGTAAAAAAGTTCAGGAAATATGTTTGCATGCATTTTGCTAAATGAACTTGAGAGCAATACCATCTAAACAGAACTTGATATGAATTTTTCAATGCTGTTCATAGAGCTTGTTGTGATAGAGGTTCAGATTTCCAACCAATCCTTATCAGATGGCCTAGACCCTAATTCTTCTTCCCAGTGAGTTCATTATGGGGTGTTCAAGCTAGCCAAATTGACTGAGGAATATGATTAGCGATATAAAGACAGGAGAATGGTTATCCCATCTGCACCTGTTTTCAAAAGCTGTGAGGGTTAAAAGGGATTTGGATATCTTTAATAGCAAAAAAGACATAGGTCAATGTAGCGATAAGCTCGCACAAAGCATATTATGCAAATTATAATTTACATTTTGAAGATGTTTGTAAATGGTTCTGATCCCTTGCTGGTTCAGAAATAAACAAATGTATCAAAACTCTTTATCCTGCCATTACTGGGATTGTTTTGAGTTATCTACCTTTAAGGTGCCCATACACTGCACGATTCTCGTACGAGAATCGCGGGAAATCCCGCAATCGTACGAGAATCGTGCAGTGTATGGAAGGCGTGCGACCGTTTCTACTGTACGGTCGCACGTCTTCCATCGAACCAGCATGTTTGAAAACCCGCCGGGAATCGTACGATTCTCGGCGAGTTGATGGCCTGCTGGTTCGACGACTGCCGAACGGGCCGGTGTGCGCACGCGCACACTGCCCGTTTGCAGTCAGCGTAAGCTCGCCCCTCATTACAGTCATCGCAAGCCCGCCCCTCAGGGGGCGTGGCTTGCGATGATCGAGAGTGCGATCTGCCCGTCCAAGATTGGCAGATCGTACGTTTTTTTAATCCCTTTACAACCATCGCAAGACTAAGGTCTTGCGATGGTTGTACAGTGTATGGCCACCTTTAGAGGGAACTGGGATAATTTATTAGCCCTGCTAAGGGAAGTTTAGATGTATCCTAGACCAGTACGGATTTTGTAGGGGTTTCAGCTTTAGGTCGGGAGACAGATCAAGGTAGATGGTGGTACAGGAAGGCTATGCACTATATCAAGCATTGCCCAGAGGGGCATCTTTCAAAATAGGCAATACTGTTTGTGAGGCTGGGGCAATGTTTGCAGTCATAAAATAATTCAATTAGGTACTACCATTCCTTCCAACATCTTCAAACAATACAAAATATCCCAACTGACCCTAGGTCTGCTAAGGCCCTAGATAAACTTCCAGATTTTAGTCTGCCAAATTATGACAGCGACTGGCAGGAAAAGTCATGCAATTTAAGTATGTCATTTTAAATGCACTAATTCTTCCAGTCCATGATATACTATACAGAAATTTCGCCAAGCCTCCAGAAGCCCATTCAGGTGCCTTGTGAAAGGGGAAAAATTAGATTTGTATAAGGCATTGTTGTCAATGTTAGGAAAATGTAAAAGGTTGTTATAAATCCTTAAGCATTTGTGAGCTTAGGTAAATGTTTAGGGCACTAGATAAGATGACTTTTTGTCATTTGTATGCCATTGGGGAGATTTACTTTAATGGAGAGATTTACTATAAATTCTTGTTCCATAGTCACAACAGGAAGCGAGAGAAAATCTCTCCAAAGTGAGGGAAACCCCCTCTGCCTAGAATTTTCTTCACTTTGTAGAGATTTCCTCTCACTTCACCACAACAAGTATGCCCATTGTAAGAAATTCCGTTTTATTCCTGTTGCAGTGGTATCTCGTAATTTTGGATATTCCCTCATTTTCAGTGTTGGTGATAATGTTCACCAGGATGAACAAAGTTGGTGAATCCCCCCAGCAGGGCTACAGATAACAATATGCATGTGGAATGCATAAACTAGGAGGTGCTAACATCTCCTGTTGTTAATGTCTAGTAGGGAATGACTATCTCGTTTATCAAGCTGCTTCACTTCAGTGAGGCTGATCCTGTACAACACAGAATCCCCAAACAATGATGTAGGCCCTGAGGAAGATCCAGACAAAGTTGAGGGGGGTGATAAAGTCCAGAATAGTTTCTTAATTGATGAATGATCAACATGATTTTTAAAAGCCAACATGTTTTTAGGGGTCTATATATTTCCGATTCATCAGGGCTTGCCTGGACTCAATAAGGTTTGACAGTATTTATAGATGTCACATCAAATGTTGTGAAGCTTCATGCTGCATTACCTGCTGGTACAAACATTTGATGTGACATCTATAAATACTGCCAAACCCTTTTTGAGTCTAGGCATTCCTGAAAGAACACAACAAGCCCTGATGAAGAGGGAGTGTGTAGCCCCCCTGAAACCCATTGGGGGGAATTTATCAAAACTGGAGCAGACAAAAACTGGTGCAGCTTTGTATAGCAACCTCAGCTTCTCTCTTCAGTTTGTTCAGTGAAGAGTTGAAAATGAAAGAGAGAGCTCTAGATTTTGTCTGCTCCTGTTTTGATAAATTCCCTTCATTGACTGTTGAACATACAGTGGTACAGGTACTCTTAAAAACTAGACCACACAGGGGCTCATACACATACATGCACGCACAACACACATACAGACACACAAAAGGTTGAACTTGATGGACCTGTGTCTTTATTCAACCTCAAATACTATGTTACTATGTAAATCCCGTTGATCTTTCATTAATAACAAAAACTATTTTGTTGTGGCAACCCTACTGCCCATGCCAATAATATAAATCTGGCAGACAAAGAGAAGAA